TATGCGCTATGCAAATATTATTTATTGTTATTACTACTACTACTACTACTACTACTACTACTACTACTACTACTACTACTACTATTATTATTATTTCTGATAGAACAGTGCTTGCAAATCTGGATGATATCGCCCTCTAAAGCGGAGATATTATGGTAATATTGGTGGCCAGTGGGGATCACCCGGATGGTGAAAGGACCGGGTGCTATTTATTGCCTGGCTTGGAAATCCGTGAATGTGGGGCGGGAATTCTTAAGCCTCTTTCAAGTGGTAAAAATGACGGCTGGCTATAAAAAAGGTTGACATGCAGTGGGGACAGATTTACATTGTTCTAAAGATGTAAAAGCCTGGTGGTTGACCGTGACATCAGTGCTCAGCTGAGTGAGAGTGTTGTTGAGCTGGTCTGTCGTGCTGTTGGTCAGCTTGCTGCTCAGAAAGTAGAGTCTGAACGTGAAGTTCTTGTCGTCGGTGTTGCTGAGGAAGGAAGCATGAAATGTTGCGATTAGTACGTCGCTTAACAGTGAACTCAGGTTCAGATGTTGTTCACAGTTGGATAGATCGATTAATCCATGCCCACTTGCTACGTCTTTTTTGCCCCCAGATACAAAATTGATTATCAAACCTTAGGATATATCTTGGAAAGACAGAGCGGGTTGAGGTTGCCCAGATACGGTTTCAGGAAAACATTCTAACTTTAGGAGTTGGGGGGGGGGGGGGTATCACCTATACCGATGTTTTTAATGTGTAAAAATTATGAATTCAGTACGCTTAGACTCAGAGATTAAAATAGGATAAGAAATACTATTGAAATGCAATGCACAGTATGGCTGTGCCAGTTCTGAGAAGGAAGTTGAGAATATAAAAACGGTTGTTTGTTGTTTTTTTCATTCGTCTAAATGCAAAATAAGGCTTAGGTTAAAGTTTTCTTTTTTCGACATTCGACACTTTAAATGCTCAATCTCATTTTTTGTTCTAAGTTACTCACCTCTGGAGAAGTTCGTATCCTGATGAGAATTCTGAAAATGCTGTCCAGAGCTGAGGATAACATGATTTGATATTTTGGGTCTCGGCATTTTCTTTAAGCATAATAAGCAAAAAAATATATAGCATTGACAATGATATAGCAGTGACATTGTTTGCAAAACAATTAACTCAGTTTGCTCTAAGGTCTTGAGAGTCTGAGGCAACTAAAGTATATGTTATTTCATTATCTGTTTGTTGGGATACTCATTATTTTGTTAGCTTTCTAGCTAATTATATCTAGATTCGTTGCCATTATTTGATCTGATATGGATGCATCTTGGCGGACCAATTCTTCGACAGGTTCACATCCATAAGTAAGACTATACGAAAACACACACACACACACACACACACACACACACACACACACACACACACACACACACACATACTCACACACACACACACACACACACACACACACACACAAGTAACAAATAACACAAGCAAAGTGAGGATTGGATCTTCTCTTGACCACCTTACAACGAACGGAACAAACGTCTTAAAATACTTTTTTTCAAATTGACAATTTCAGAAATAATAGTTACTAAGATGCTATGCAGTCCTCTGGCGATCTATACTGTAATAATGTTTTAATTAACATTGCCTGTACCTTGAAGTTAAAATTAATAGTTATCTATATAATATGATTAAGGAAATTGAAGTTTCGTCCTTACCGTTGAAGAAAGATCAGCAACACTAGCGTTTGCATCCACTATGACAAGATCAGAAGTGTTGTCAGTACCCAAGGTCAGTGACCACGTGAACGTAGCAGTGTCTAATTGAAAGAAAGGTAAGTGGCCAAATAGTAATAAAGTCTTGCAGAGCTTTTCGGACAAAAATCTACCATAACGTGATAGAACTTTCGTAGGTTACACAATATGCCATGACCGTTTCTTTTTGGGGGCTTTAAAAGATTATTTTCTTGTAGCACGAGTAGACCTTCAATATTATTGGAAAGGGGGTATTTCTTTCTTTTTTTTTCTTTTTTTTTTTGTTTGTTTGTTTGTTTAGAAAACAGTATTTAAAATTCATAATATTATTTAAAGTGTACTTGAAAATTACCCCCCCCCCCCAAAAGAGAGAGAGAGAGAGAGAGAGAGAGAGAAAGAGAGAGAGAGGGGGGGGAGATAAAAGACTACCATTGCTTGCGTTTAAATACCGATGTGCTGGTAAAGAGATGTATTGCTTTCATGCCTATCTCTTATTTTAGTTTTAGTAAGAGTTTAGCGGCATTTGCGAAAGATTAAAAGTGTTACTAGAGAGTAACAAGCAAAGAAAATTAGGAGGAGAGATAAGGACGGCAGATGTTTGATATAATAGGAAAGGAGGAGCTAACCATACCACAACGCCTAAACCACCTACTCATACTAATCCAGATCTAAATGTGTAAGACATGAAGATGATACTGCAAGTTTGAAAAAAAAAAGAAAGAAAATATAATGAGTGATGAAAAGAGGGTGTAAAATTAATATCAATATGTCAAATGTGCAGCATTCCGCAAGATTCTGTTGATATAATTATTATGAAATTGCTGTGTAAAAAGTGTCTGTTGTAGGGGAGGCGAAAAAAAGAGAAGGAAGTTGGGGGGGTTCAACTAAAACTATATTTTTTTAAGTGGTTGTGTTCGCATCGTTCAAATCAAAATGGGCTGTGACAGATGTAAAAATTAAATCAATGAAGTCGTCACTGATTAACACTCAATGTCCTCACCAAGATGAGGTAAGTCTGCTGCCGCCGGTGTAGTTGTTGTGGTGGGCGGGAGTGTCGTTGTCATGGTTACAGTTGTCTCATTCGCTGACGCCGTGACCGACGCGTTTGTAGGGGCGGCTGCTGTAGCATTGCTTGTGTTATTCCCGGATGACGTAATACCGGAATCCGTGGTGCCAGGTGGAACGGTGCTCTGCCCACTCACCGTCGTCACTAGAACAAAAAAGGAGTATAATTTATTAGGAGCTTTACTTAATCATCTATTTCTTTCTTAGACATGTAGGTACGACCGGTCTCTGGGTATGGCCAATGATTATGGCGTTTAGAATTTGTCTAAGTAAAAGAAATTTATAGGATGTAAATTTAAATTCTTCTCTAACGTCGTTTTCACGAGAATGTAGGTTATTCAGTGAACAAATTTTGGGAAAGAAAACGAGGAGAAAAAGGTAGATGGTATCTAAAATTACAGTATTGGCCCCTTTGTGGAAGTATACTTAAAGTTGGCCGAGTATCCACAGTGATGTACGCAGCACGAGCGCTCTTTGAGTTAGTACTTTTCCTAGAAATCGCAAAATTGCATAGTTTCTACACTCCAAAGTGAACGAATGTCAGACGTAAAAAAGGAAATGCAGCATCATTTTCAAGAACTGCATTGTTTCAGCTAAACATTCCGTCAAATCACGTGAGTGGTCCGAATATCACGCTAGTGAGTCAGCAGTTCCTCTCTGAATAATTACCCGTCAACCGGATTTTTGTTAAAATTCGTGTTCAGCCCTATTCTTTATGAAATTAGTACTCACCTGCTAGTGCCAGCAGACAGAAGAATAAGATGATCTGTTTCTCCATAATCCTAAGAACGTTGGAGTATAGCATAGGGGGTGGTGGAATGATGCCTTTCTTGGTTTGGTCCAGCTAAAAGAGAATTATAAAATAGGAAATGTTTTTTGTTAAAATTTAGAAAACAAAATTGTGCAGTAGTTGGGAGTTAAGGGGGGGGGGGGGGGGTAGCTTTCTTTTTCATCCATCGTTAGTCAATTTGTTTGTTTGTTTGTTGGGGGGGGGGGGTTTTGTCATGCTGTTGGAATTTAATCGACATGTTCTGAAAGGGAGCTGACTACTTCTTTTTGTCTTCTCCTCTTCGTTTTTTTTTTCTTTGGATGGGGGTGATGCTTATAGGTATGTCTTATATATAACCAGCCATTTCTGACTTTCTTCAAGACTGCGCAACTTAAACATCCCTAAGGAATCATGAATGTGCCTTAGAGGTTGCCATTAATCTTTTCTTTTTTTTTTCATTGTTCCCAGTTTTCCAACAAAAGGATATATTTTATATTTAAGCGTTTTACACAAATTTTCCTCACTTCACCCAGGTGGGAATGGGTACCCGGTCAAAGGCAGCGAAAGATCTTGTCAGTATGTTAGTGTTTTAGCGCCTATAAATGGCTGCTTCCCCTGTATGCTTCCAAGGAAGTTGAGGTTTCAGAATGCTCTCAGGTCTGCTAGGGTAATAGTATAGATTGTGAAGCGCATAGAGCTTGCTGTTGAGCGGAGATTCCCTCTGTCCAAATTCTATCTATTATTATTGTATGTATTAATATGTATATGTTTAATTTATTTATATATAATATATCGCTAGCCGCGTGATTCAACCACCAAAGTGCCAAAGACAATTTTTTTTCAGGAGAAGCAAAAACAAATTATTATTTCTTCAAGCTCGTGCCTATAAATCTGGAATTCAGATATTTAATATAATATGGTCTGTAGCTTATTTTTTATAAAACGCTTTCTTGCATAAGCTACTGAACATAGGCGGTTTGGACCACCAAAATCTGTGTGATTCAACCGCCTAAGTGACAGTGACGGCGTCTAGACGTTTGAATCACTTTAATCAACCCCACTTGACCAGCACCAATGCTTACTTGGGCGTTTGAGTAATCGACAAAAGCAAATCATAATAGTTTTAAGAGTAATTATTAAGTTAAAAGTAATTTATTCAGTTATTTGGTTAGGTCTTCTGAGGCAGGACTGTTTTTGGCCTCATAGAGTTGGCAAAAAAAAACCATTTATCTTAACGATCAATTTGTACTGGATGCTTTTGCTCAGTGTGTAACAAAGGCAACGAACGTCTGTGACAATGGGGTCTTTTTGTTTCAGCCAGGTCTGGGTCCAGAAATCGAAAATCAAAGGGGTGGGTTGGGGGGGGGGGGACTTTTTGCTTTTCTTTTAAAAAGTTCAAGATTATCCATGAGTACATAGACCATACCATATTTCAGGGACCTTTCAATTACACTCTATGTGCTGTTCACTATCATTTGAGTTTAATTTGTCCTTTTTCAAGGTATTTGTCTTCAACAGTTTTGTCCTATCTGGTACAAATGTCGCCGATTGCATTTGACAAGATAGCGTTGTGGTCTGATAAGTACAGCCATCTCTGTGTATAATGAACGTGGCATTGTCTGTAGGTTCCTACAGGAAGTTACTGACAAAAAAAGAGAATTCAGTGGCAATCAATGGTCCTTCTCCTTCGAGCAAAACGTGACACTTCACATCCAGTGGCGGTGGGTAGTGAAGGGCTCACGGGCTTGAGCCCCCTCCCCACCCCCAACTCTATCCCAAAGCAAATGAAAATAACGAAATAAGCAGTTGAAACCGTTTTGAACGCACGTAATGAACACAGAGTGATCAACTTGGCGGCTTGCTCGTTTATCCAATCACTGTTGCCGCCGCTTACAACTATAGTAACCTAACAGCAAATCAAATGTCTTTAGGGCTCAGCAAACGATGAGCCCGTTCCCACTGCCCCTCGCTAATGAAATTCTTCTTGTAAAAAGGTAGAAGACTTGAAAAAAATAACACTGCACAGTGGGCTCACGCTGTCCTAGCCCTGATAATGGGGTGAACGTTTACGACACACTTACCCCCAGTGACACAGTTACCTACGCTTCCATTGGACCTTTGTTAGGCGTGCTGTCTACTTTTCTCGACTACACGGCCTAATCCAGCTTGTGGAGTGATGTGTATGCATGTTTGTGTGTGTGTGTGCCGCTGAGATTTAACAGTTATTAATTACATCAAACCACTTTAGAGGCAACTTTTTCATCAGATCAAAATTAATTAGAGAAGTTTGGAGGGGAAACGGTTTCGTCCCCACAATCAAGAAGAATTTAACGTAGAACAAAGAGAAGGAAGACAAAGGTGACTCTCTCGTTTGAAAGGTTCTCAAAATGCCGAGGCTAGTCGTGAGTATGAGAAAATCACCACTGTTTTCTGTATATTGCTTGTTGTTTGGTGGTAAAGAAGTGAAAGCAGCCTAAGCCCCACCCAAGTTTTGGTCCACCCACCGCCACTGTTCACATCTTTGGCTACCAAATATTTAAGAAATATAGACAGCTAATTCGTTCATGTTTTGATATAGTGCAGCAGAGGTGTTCAACGCCTTACTAACAAATCCGCTTCCAAGTCCATGCTCACTCGACATAATCTGATCCTATCCTCTGAGTTTTATGCAAACTTCTCTTTCGTTCTTCTGCCCTGCGTTATTCACATTGATCCTTCCGACATACACACAACAACAGGTTGCTCTTTTTTTAATATCTCTCTAAAGTCGCCTTGGACAATGTTTGACTCTTTCCGTTTTCTTTTGGCACTCTCTATAAAGGCCTCTGAGGCTTTGAAAGTGTTAGTCAAGATAGATTTTGCCTGTATTCTATCTGTAATAATGGGAAAGCAATTTCGTCAAGTTTGTTGAAGAATTATTTATCACAAAATTGCTTGTCCTCTTCAACTCTCTGGTAATTTGACAATCGTGAGCTCCCATCTCCAAGTGATGTAAACTGTCTTTGTAACAGTCATGAATAACCACTGTGTGAAGGCAGTAGTATACAAACTCATTGTTCTGCATGTTGGTAGAATGTATGAGATTTGTTTCTAATTGAAGTGTAGAGCTGGAGAGTTAACGTTGAAGGTTTGTTGAAGGGAGAATTTTCGTGGGAAATATGTTTATGAGTTGCTTTTTTATTTTGATTAACTAATCAATGATTCAAGAATGGTACTTGATAGATACAGCAAGGGGCACATACTTAAAGTTAATTTAAAAACGCGAAAAGTCGCGATAAAAATAGCATCCAATAGTTGTACGTACCAAATGTGAAATAATCGACCTTTAGGCGTCAGTAGTGGACTTTATTAAAAATTCATTCGTCAATAGGTTTTGCCACAATTTACAGACTTGTTGAGTCAGTATTAACATATTCTTTGATGCTATCTTGTCCTTTCTCAACTACACTACCAAACCTAATGATAGATTACTCAAACAGCCTTGACAAAATTTTCTGGCTATCGATAGGGTTCAATCTGAGTCAAACTTAGCAAAGATTGTTTTGATGTCACCCGTTGTCTGTTTTGACAAAGGCCTACGCGACAGGTGAACACCTCAACAAGCCGCTGCATTTGTGTGATTCAACCGCCCATTCCCTATCGGGCTGCAAAACTGACACTTGTGGCGGGGGGGGGGGGGGGGGGGG